GGACTGTCGGCGCCCCCAGCCCCTAGCCCAGAGACAAGGAGGTGTGAGTTCAGGTGGCTGCCCGGGTATTAAGTGGCACTGGTGACGAGATGGGCCCAGGGGCACGTGTCCAGCAGCGGCCTCGGAGCTGGTCTGGGGGCCACCCATGTGGTCAGTGGCGGCACTGCAGCAGGCGTGGATGTGAGCCGGGGCTCACAGACGGCTGGACAGGCGGCCAGCACGCAGGACCGCACAGTGCGAGGCCATTCCAGACAGCACACCGACCTCGGGCTAGGCATGTCCCTTGCGCGCAATAACCTCTGGCACCGGCTGGGCAGGACCCTCGAGCGCTGTGACCTCCGACTGTGCAGGTCCCTCATGCGCCCGACCTTCCTGGGCAGGTCCCTCTCCCGCCTGCTTCCGCGTGTGGCCGCCAGCTTGGCCACAATTTCAGCCCAGTCCTGAATTTGCCGTGCCTCCATCCTGGGTTTCAGCGCCACTGTAAACAAACCACGGCAGACCAGGCGACATGTTCATGAACATGCTTTTCAGCATCTTTTCATTAACTCCAGTTGCTGCTATAAACACCCTCGGTCAGCCGCAGCTTTCCAGCTCACAGCCCGACTCACATCATCAAGAACAACCACTCTCAGGACCCTCTGGCACAGATACAGATGAGGACAGAATTATTAGTCCCTCTATGAAAGTTTATTTTTTTAAAAGAGTATTTCCCAAGTTCCAGTTAGAAGAACAAGGAATTTCTTACGCAGCCTTTCCAAACATCCTGGTTTTATTTTGTGTGCTTACAAGCAAAATTATTTTACAAAAACTACCAAGGTCAAAATTATTAATGCTAACAGTTAATTATGTGTTCTTTATGCTATATAATAGCCTGCAGTCTTTTGTTGTAGTTTTCAATAAGTCAAACTCGTGTCCTGAACAATCCCAGCCCATTCTTCTTTGGAGAATCTCTCAAGCCCCTCCAGATTTGTACGCCTCTTCCTTCTTTCTCTAAATATAAGCAGCATCTCTGTGGCCAAAGAGCTTTACTTTCACTTCATCTGACCATAGGACGTGCTTCTAGTATGCAGGTTTCCTTAGCATATTTCAGTCTGTCTTTCTGCAGAAGTTTTTTTCTTTTAGCATTAAAAGTTTAAGCACATCATTGCACAGCACTAGTTTGTTCTGTGGTTCAAAAAAGGGTTCAGGGCACTAATAATAATAACAACTTTATTGATACTAATTTAATAATTAATTGGTCATTTTTGTTTTTTTCTTAAATGAGTCTGTTATTGTGTGCAAACAGAAATAATTGACATGTTATAAAGAAAACTGGTATGTTAAGAAATGTTACATTAAAAATGTTTTGCTCTGTTAAAAAAAACAACAACACAAAATTCTGACAAAAACTTTAAATTTAATTGGTGGGTAATAATTTTGTCCTCATCTGTATGAATGTTACTTTGACATATCGACCCACCGTAACAAACTGGGGTTGTCAAAGCAAACCCTTCATGCCAAAGGCACTCCCCAATGACAGCAGTCTCACCCAGCAGGATGCAATTTGCTCAGGAATGGCTTGAGGGAACACAAAAAATAGCCAAAGTTGTTACCAAGTCGCAGTCTTATTCATTAACAGCAGATGTGCCAAAAAAAAAAATCCATTCTGCTGAAGCTGCAGTCCACAGGACACCCACAGGCCCACATCTGTGGCCTAAAGGCTCTAAATTGGTTGTGAGGTATAAGGGTGAGCTGAGTATCTGTGTTAGCTATGTGATGGACAAATAACTAGCAAATGACAAGCAGAAGAAGATGAATGGACCATTTATTAAAGTTTTGGTTGTCTGGTGATCTGCGGTGCAATATTTTCCGATTAAGCTCCATGTATCTGCCCTGCACGAGATAACAAACAGGCAGAGTTGACATCGCTATAGTGAATTAAGCTCAGCTAACAACAAATCTGTTTTTCATTATTCGGTAGGAATAAAAACCTTCCTTTTGTACCCTAAAAGTGGCAGGCCCTCCTGCTGTGTGTGTTACCACAGATTCACAAAAACATTTTGTTCTTCTGATTCAGAACCTGGATCTGTTTCTGCAGCCTGAAATATTTATTCAGTTCTGGGTCACAGTGCAGCTGTTTGTCTAGCGATTTGAAGCATGCAATCTGTTCACACTCTCTCAAGCATGTAGTTTTTCCATCTCCTTACAAGGCTAAATATGCCACACACTGACGAAAAGAT